AGTTGGGCGGGGGTTCGCTGGCGCGCCGCGTTTTGAATCGCTTGCGCGTCGGGTTTTGGATCGCTTGTGCCTCAGGTTTTCGTTGAGCGCAACATGCAATGTGCGGCCACTAAAGGGTAGGCTACTAAACTCAAAGACGCCCGGAACTTAGCTGTTCAAAGATGTTCCTTCAAACTGAGGTCTGTCTAAACACAAACTTAAATTTATTTAGACAAACAGGCTGTCCCACTTGGTGGCGAAGAAGTGGATTCGATCATTCCATTAGAACCTCCCACCCCCCACCCACCCACGCCCCCCACACACGCGAGTCTCGAGTTATGAGATTTCCAATCCAGAGTTAGATCACAGACAAATGGCTATCCTTAGATCATAGAGAACTCTGTGACACTGTGTGTCGGTTGTGCGCGCGGATGTTGGATGTGATGATGTGGACATGGGCCAATCATTTCATTAGATCCCCCCACCCCCATCACCCCCCCATGGGCCAATCATGCCATTAGTTCCCACCATTATTGCCATCGATGCGCAAGTGATCCACTTTTTCGATGCGTAAGTGATCCTCTGATGCGTAAGTGACCCCTGATGCGCAAGTGATCGAAAAGTCGATGCGCGAGTTACCCCCCCGCCGCCCCAACTTTCACGGTAGTGTAGGTTTTGAGGAATTCGTCAGGGTATCTCACAACCATGACCTTTGGACATGAATGACCCGCTGCCAAAACCAATTCCTTGTTTTGCGTTTCAGCTTCTAAATTATTGAGCGGAGGGTATTTTAAAATATGGTGTTGTAATCACCTGCCGAATATCTCCTCTAGAATCTGGGAGCTTGAGCCCAAAACGGCCCTCAGATTTTATAAACAGTTTTCTTGTAGAATCAAATATCAACCTATTTGAAGAACCACCGCATTTTCAACATAGGGTCCAAGAAATCAGTTTGTTCTTGCAAAATGGGTGCCAACATTTGATTCTATAGAAAGGGCGCGCCGTGTCACCAGATTGTATCGAGGTCCTAATGTAATTTTTGGGAACCGAAAGCATTTTGAGTCCCCACACTTTTCTTTAAAATTGAAAACTCAAAACCAACCTCTTGGGCCACATTTGTCAAATAATATATCACCCTCCCCTTGATTTAGAAATCGGGGGAGGGGGGTAACCTTTAGAAATTTCATTCCCAGTTATATTTTTCCTTGGTGTTTTCAAGGTTTTGGTTGATTTGGGATGACGTCGCCCGATCGTCTGTGGTTGCATGTGATTCCACTGCTGGGTGAACCCTCAGTTGACAAGGGAAGCGCACCACGACTTGCAAGCTAAGAGAAATTCAGATCACAACTTGCTAGAGCAGGCTTAACAATGACAATAGACAAAAAATATGCACTTCTAAATGCAGATATGAATCCGTGCATTCATTATGCCACATCGCACTCCAGCACCGTGACTTCGGTCATCATGATTAGGGTTTAGGGTTCTCCCGACAAGTAAATTCTTTAGCAAAGCCTCCCGACAATTAGATTCTTTAGTGAAGCTCCCTGACAATTAGATTCTTTAGTAAAGCCGCCCGGCAATTAGTAGTAAAAGCCCTGACAATTAGATTCTTTGATTTCTTTAGTAAAGCCCACCACCAATTAGTTTTTATAGTATGGAAAAATCCGCCTCGACTAAATCGTCAGCTTTTTTCTTAAGTCAATTCCTTTTCCACCTCCTCTTCATTTTCCACCTCCTCTTCCTTGTCCACCTCCTCTTCCTCTCCCACCTCCTCTTCCTTTTCCACCTCCTCTTCCTTTTCCATCTCCTTTTCCTTTTCCACCTCCTCTTCCTTTTCCACCTCCTCTTCATTTACCTCATCCACTTCTTTTTCCACCTCCTTTCCCGAGATTTTTCAGCCCGCCTCGACTAAATCCGGAGGATTTAGTCAAGGCAAGCTGTTTTTCTCAAGTCAAGCCCTGCCGCCTCGAGATTTTTCAGCCCGCAAGGCAATCTGCTTTTCTCAAGTCAAGCCCTGCCGCCTCGAGATTTTTCAGCCCGCCTCGACTAAATCCGGAAGAGTTAGTCAAGGCAGATTTTTTCATGGGCCCTCCCGTCGTAAATTATGGGTAGGGTCACCCCCAGGAATAATTTTTCAGCATACCTTTTTTTGAATATGAGAACAACCCCACCATGTTGAAGTTGGGGTGGGTGGATAGTGGATGGTACCCTGGAATAATAAGGTCGGAATTGACTTGCTCCACCATGTTCCCCTGTTGGGGTGGGTGGGTGGGACCCTGGAATAATATAGTCGGAATGGACTTTCAAGGCGTGATAAAGGAATGATGTTATAACTTCAGAAAGCCACATCACATGCTCGCATTTGCAGCTGGCTCAAAATCAAAACGATCACAATCATGGGGGAACATGAGGGGGTCACAAGGATCGATGACGCCTTTCGTTCTTAAACCGTCAACCTCTCTTACCAGAAAAGAGAGCTGTCAGATCTGTGGAACTGCGAAAAATGTGGCTCGGGCCATCTCGGGCCAAATGCTCCCCATTGCGTAGGGGTGATCACATCAAAGCCGCCCTAGACTTAAATCTGCTGTCTAGAAGCCTGTGACTTCCAGGACGGCGAGTTCACGCCAGGGAGGGTCAGATCAGGGCTCCTATGGCGCCCCAGCCACATCTTTCTTGTGGACTCTGAAGCTGTGAGACGTGTGAACTGAAGTTGTAGATTGTGCAAGATATGTGTTTGCCTGCTGTTGTAGGCCACTGTTCAGTAGACAGCCAACTGCTAAATTATTCCAAGGTCTACCCACCCCGGAATTACTTTAGTCGGAAAGAAACCACACCAAATTCCGCACTAAATTTTTGAACTGGTCTCACCAAAACTCGGGAGTAGACCCGAGACCAGGGAATAAGAAACTGTCAGGTCACAGGTGCTGCGTCATAGGCGCCCAAAAAGACACCGTGGTTGTGGATTCTGAATCTGTGAGATGTGTGACCTGAAGCTGCAGATTTGTGGAAGCTCTAAGATGTGTGCCCCAACAGGGCAAGTTTGCCTTCTAGACAGCTGACTGCTAAACTATTCCAGGGTCGATCACATCAAACCCACCGCTGAGATTATGTTTGTCGTTGGTGGCTCTCATTGCTTGCTGCGCGGACTGAACTAATTCCAGGGGTGGGTTTGATGTGATGGACCTTGGAATAATTTAGCAGTTGGCTGTCTACTGAACAGTGGCCTACAACAGGAGGCAAACTCATATCTTGCACAATCTACAGCTTCAGGTCACACGTCTCACAGCTTCAGAGTCCACAAGAAAGATGTGGCTGGGGCGCCATAGGAGCCCTGATCTGACCCTCCCAAGTTTGGTTTCTGGGTCTGGCTTCTGGCGTGAACTCGCCGTCCTGGATGTCACAGGCTTCTAGACAGCAGATTTAAGTCTAGGGCAGCTTTGATGTGATCACCCCTACGCAAGGGGCGTTTTTCACAGTTTCGGAGCACAACAAAGATTTGGTTAGGTCGCCTATGACCTGGCACCCCTGATCTGACGGTTACTGCTCCATGTCTGCTCCCAAGTTTGGTTTCTGGGTCTGGCTTCTGGCGTGGGCTCGCCGTCCTGGAAGTCACGTGGGGGGTTGCTGATCTGAAAAGTGCGGCCGTTTTGCCGCGTGTTGGATCACTTGACGCGACCGGAAACGAGGAGGGATCAAAACGCAGAAGATCACTGTAGTGAAACTGAACCTGTGTTTTTGGAACGCGTGTAAGATCACTTATAGACTGCAAGGCAGACATGGCTGTAAAATGCTGTAAATTATTCCTGAAAGGTGTTCACATATATGGCATCATTTTTGGCAAGGTGTAGGTCCACCACCCCTGAATTAACAAAATATTCTGGGGCCCCATACACCCCGGGGCCCCAGATGGGAGGCCCCATTCTTTTCCATAGTAGAATCTAATTGTTGCCTCCTGCCCTCCTTCGTTCCTTCCTGCCCTTGCCGCGCCCTTCCCTTGCGCGGGTTCCGCGCCATTCCCTTGCGCAGGTTCCGCCCCCTTCCCTCCTTCCTTCCGTCCGTCCTTCCTTCCTTCTTTCCCTTGCCGTGCCCATGCCTTGCGCGGGTTCCGCGCTCTTCCCTTGCGCGGGTTCCGCGCTTTTCCTTTGTACGGGTTCCGCGCCCATCCCTTGCGCGGGTTCCACGCTCTTCCCTTGCGCGGGTTCCGCGCTTTTCCTTTGTGCAGGGTCCGCACCCTTCCGTTGCGCGGGTTCCGCGCCCTTCCCTTGCGTGAGATTGACGCCGGCCCTTCCTTCGCCAGACCAATCAATGTGATGGTGGCACACACACGCTCCCTGCGAGGGGTAGTGGCGCTGCAAAAGAGAAGAGAGCCGCAGCCGCAGTGCAGTCGATTCTGACAAACATGCGTGGGCTGGTATACTTTGGATAGCCTGAGTTTCTATGTTTCAAAAGGTCAATCCAGGCCAATCCATTTGATTTAGTTTCGTTCCATTGTCCGACGTTGACTGACATGTTTTGTTTCTCATTTGGCGGCTCTCGATCGGGGACATCTCTCATGCAAAAGCTTACTTTTAGAGGGGGTATATAAACAATCTAAAAAGAAATTGACCCCCCAAGCAGTGGGGGGTTCAAATATCTTTATCACGTTCAACCTTGGGCAACTTTTGCCCAACAATTATTTATCAATATCAACCTTCATATGCACCCGCACTTCTCTATATGCTACGCATCATTGACTTTCCAATTTTTTGATTTCAGTTTTGTATGATCATGAACACCCATACCGTGAGGCACTTGATTCTATCAAGAACCGGTTTCCAGCACTGCAGGAGGTTGATACTTCAATTTATAGTGGGGCAAGCTGCCCTCAGAGGCAGGCTTTTCTTTTTATAACTACAGCATCAAATCTCAAGGTACACCGGTAATTCCACAGTGGATGTGTTGTATACATAGACATATGCGGGTGGACCAGCAAAGTTCAGCGTCGATCGCCTTCGGCACTTCGTGTAAGACTTCGCCAGCAGGAGGAAGAGCCGGAGGTAAAGGAGGATGGCCATGATGCAGCAGGGCTGAAATCGAGTCTGCAGGAGTATGAACCCCAACGAACTCTCCAGCTAATTACGTTCTCCCAAAAGGTTGCAAGGATGCATTGTTGTACTGTGAATGTTCGTGATGTTCAATGATCACTGTTGCAATTTAATTGTGGCCGCTCACCGCGCCCACGACCAACGTGAATTTTTCAGGTTGTGTTGTTGCGCTGCCGAGGAGATAGCAGCACCGCTTCAAGCGAAACCAGAGGCGTGTTTGCAGTTTTTTTGCGTAACGTAACGTCGTGGTGTCATCTCAATGCAATTTGCCGTTTGTTTTGTAGATTCAAGTTGAGTGCTGTACTTGTTGTTGTTCTCAGGCAGAGGGCAAACCAGCAATCGAGGATGAGGAGGGTGCGCCGGTCATTCACGCGGCTTTGCTGCAGAGCATCCTCTGACAACTCTTTGCAGCATTTTATACTTCCAATCGCTTCCTATTTCTGTGGAACATTGCCAAGGGCCAGGGTCATTCCATGTTGTCCATTTGGCAGTAGTGCAGACATGAAACAAATTGAAGCAAGGGATGGACGGTTTCAAACTGAAATGGAAGATTTGCTTGAGGTCTCTCAACTTCCGGAGTGGCTAGAGGATGCTGCGCCCAAGGAGCCTGTGGGTAAAGTGCAGTCTATCGTGCAAGATCTTCTCATTATCCAGGGAGGGGAGGACAGCAAGGCCCGGAAAGAGAGAAATCGTGCGGTTTGACGGCAGCATGAGGTAGAAGGAGGAGAGTTAAACCCATGTTAGACCTTAACTTTGCCTGGTGTTTTTGACGTATGAGACCTACACTTGTGCCAAGCGAAGTTTCGATCAGGCCTTGGACCTCGGCTCTGTGGTTTGCGAAGCAGATGGGCGTGTCCTGGGCGCGGTGGTAGACGTCTTTGGGCAGATTTCTCGGCCACACTACTTGGTGCTTCCCTGTGAGACCTGCAAGAAGGATGCACCTTGAAATTGCGGATTATTTGAGGCGGTTCTTTTTCTTTCTAGCGCGAAGAACCGAAATCCTCGTGCAGGACTTACCCGTGGTGGGTGCGGCTGTGCTGGCTGCAACAGGCATGGAGGAGCACTGTACACAACATACGCGAGCAGAGATGACTGAAACTTTCAGGTGTGCTGCAGCTGCACATCATATTTGTCATATTTTATTTGATTGATAATTTTTGTATACTTTTGTGTAGCTCCGTGCATAAAAGGATCATCAATGCGATATGTTGTCCAGCTGGGCTGATTGGCTTAGTTTCACAGCCCAGGCCAGCTATTCCAAGCCTACATATACCATCATATACACCCTTACATAGATGTGATAGATTCGATGTGTTTCTTGCAGTGAGAAACCCTTCTGTGGGATCTTGCATTCTGTCACAGGTGCTTGCCACACGATGTGTAAAGGCTGCAGGATGAATATTCTGATCCGAAGGAGACAAGCTTCCTTTGCGACAGCACAGACTTGGCTGCCTTGCAACAGCTTGAAGATGGTAGCGATGAGGATAGTCACTGGGCGCAGCATATTGGTCCAAACATCAGAGAACTAAGAAACACGACATCTAGATCAACAAAAAACAAAAAGAGCATCAAACAGAATATGATCAAACAATAATAAAGGATCAAACACATATTCATTGATAGGCCTCTTCTGCTGCTCTCCTGGCCCTGTGGTCTGCGGGTCCTTTGGTTCGCTGGTCCACTGGTCCTTTGGCCCCCTCGTCCCTTGGTCCTTTGGTCCCTTCATCCTCTGGTGCACGGTCCCGTGGTCTCCTGGTCCTTTGCCCTCCCGGTCCTCTGGTCTGCGGGTTTCCTATGGTTTCTCCGTGTTCTTTCACTGATGCTTTTTGATGCCTTTGGTCCTTTCTCTTGTAGCTTATTGGCCGCAGTTTTCCTGCAAACGTGCAATGCTTTTGGCTTCGGTTGCCTTAAGGTCCTTTTGTGCACTTTTAGATGCCCTTCACTGAAAGGGCGATAGGGTACATAGTTTCTAGTGATTTCTTTTGTGGTGCTATGTTTTAACATTTGGTTCGCTTGGGGGGGGTGCGCTGCGCCCTCCCCCCCAAACCAAACCCCCTCCAGCACCACGAAATTTGCACTCTTGCACTGCGCCTGCCACGAAAACTATATAACTGTTAAAAGGGTCGCCCATTAGTCGCCCATCGCATTTGCAGATTGTCTTCCTTTTGCCCTTGTCTTGGCCGCGCCCCTGTCTGTGGGGCCAGAATATATTTTTTGATTCCCTTTTTATGTTCCTTTTGATCCCCGTTGAATATGTTTGATTTCCTTTTTATTTTTTGATCCCTTACCCCAGGAACGCCTGGACCGGCAGACTGGCGGGTCAAACATCGAGTTCGATCCTAAACGGTCCAACCTGCCTTGTGCCACTGTTTGCCCGCATGCTTTGCTTAGCTTCAGTAAGCACCATGAATTCCATTCCTGTACAGAAGGAAGACCTCCTGCCAAGTAGGGTGTCACATTGTGTGGGTATGGTGGTAGGGAATGTAGATGATTGTAGTAGGTCTGTGGATGTACCGCACGCACGGATGGAGCAGATTGTGGGCAGTTCAGTTATATTCCTGACAGAATGTATTAGGCAAAGGGCAACTTTGGATCATTAGAAGCGGTTGAGCCGAGGAGAAGAACATAGAGTTAGTTACAGAAGGCAACTACCAAAACGGAGCATGCAGGCTGACTCCTTTTTGTCGGTGATGGGCCGCCTCGTTTCGCG